TGGTTTGAACGGTAAGTTCGGCGTGATGCGTATATGCGGCACGAAACGTATTATTTGTTTCAGTTGTTATGCAGGTTAGCGTGTAAACACGGGTTCGAGTAGGGAAAACTGGCGCTATAAATTTTTAGGGTAAGTTGTACCAACGGTTATGAGTTGAACAAGAATACTGCAACGATCATATTTGTTTTCAATACGGGAATCAATCACAGCATCGTCGACGTTCGTTTTAGTTCGTGAATTGTGTGGTGCGAGCAATGACCTAGTCGTGTGCCAGATAAGTAAATCTTTTTCAATCGTAATATTTTGGTCTACTTCGATTATTTAACGTAAAAATATTCTCATAGGTTGTTTACATACAGGGTGTTCGGTCACCCATGGGAAAAATTTTAATGGGAGATTCTAGAGGCCAAAATAAGACGACAATCAAGGATACTAAATTGTTGATTGAGGCTTCGTTAAAAAATTATAGAAATATTTCTGGCCAAAAATTATACTTTCCGTAAAGAATTTTCTTCTCGAAAGTACGTAGGATTTCGGCGGTACGTATATTCACCAAAAATTATTGTAATTGCTCCCAACAACCAAAAATAATTTTTTTAAAACGATTTGAAATTTTTTAATTTTGTCGAAAAATTTCACACCTTCTCGAATTTTTTTCTCGACAGTGGATAGGATTTCGGGGATGCGTATATTCACTAAAAATTATTGTAATTGACTCCCGCAACCAAAAATAATTTTTCCAGAACGATTTGAAATTTTTTAATTTTGTCAGTTTTGTACACCTACTCGAATTTTTTTCTCGAAAATGGTTAGAATTTCGGGGGTATGTCTGTTGACCAAAAATGATTGTAATTGACCCCTGCAATCGAAAATAATTTTTCCAGAACGATTTGAAACTTTTTAATTTCGCGGAAAAATTTAGGCACCTACCCCCTTTGTCGATCTTTGTTTTTCGTTTTTAATAAATTTGTTTGACGTCCTACGGAAATTTAGTTTTGTACTTTTTGTAGATAACTATGAGCTCCATTACCATACTAAATTTCATTACGATACGTTCACTATTATAGAAGTTACGGAGGTTTGAAAATTGAACCATTTTTATGAAGAACAACTTCAAGGAACAATTTTTCGAATATTCTTGGAATTTCTACATATACTTCACTAAAATACGTGTTGTTTTCATTTTCAAACATTAAAATCCTCCAATTCGTTCAGAAGTTATGATATTTTAAACATTTGCATGAAATTCTGAGGAAGCATTTCTGGCCAGAAATTATATTTTCGGTAAAGAATTTTCTTCTCGAAAGTACGCAGGATTTCGGGGATATGTGTATTCGCCAAAAATGATTGTAATTGACCCCCGCAACTAAAAATAATTTTTCCAGAACGATTTGAAATTTTTTAATTTTGTCGTCAAAGTCCATCTCTACTCGAATTTTTTTCTCGAAAGTACGTAGGCTTTCAGGAGTATGTCTACTCACCAAAAATGATTGTAATTGGCCCCCGCAGCCGAAAATAATTTTTCCGTGAATGATTTGAAATTTTTTAATTTAATTTTTTAATAACTTTTTAACGAAGCCTCAATCAACAAATTGATATTTTTGATTTTCGCCTTATTTTGGCCTCTAGAATCTCCCATTAAAATTTTCCCCAGAGGTGACCGAGCACCCTGTATATGTTGACTGGGACTAGTTGTTATTGCTGTCACAATTTGCCCCATCGTAAATATAAATATGAATATGTAGTTGCTATATTATAGAATGTAAGTTGCATACAGTTAATATAAATACTTCACGTTCGGTTGACACTGTGTAAAGTTTATAATATTTTTTAAATTGAATAAAAATGAGAAACTTTTCATATAAAAAATTTTTACATAAAAATTGTATGGTATGGAGGGGTTCGTAGTATGCATATAATAATTTTTATGTAAATGTAAGAATTTCAGAGATTTTTTTAATAGCATTGCATACTATCCTATTTTTAATAAAATAGCATGGATTTAGACAATTTTATTGTCCCCCAATACAAGGTCATTCGATAAAGGGTAACAGGCTGCAAAGTGACTTACATTATAAAAGATGCTCAAAGTGAAGTCCGTACGCGGTTATCATTTCCTAGTTGATTGTAGCACATGTTCATCACAAAACATTAAAAGCTATCGTGTACCAAGAGAAACCAACAACTCCACAAGATATGAAAGAAAGACTCACGAGAACATGTGCTACAATCAATCCGGAAATGATAGCACGCGTACGGACTATAGTAATCCAAGGATTGCAATGTTGCTCGACGCCAATGGGCATCACTTCGATGCATCTCTTATAATGTAAGTCACTTTGCATCCTATTAACTGTTACCGAATGACCTTGTATCGGAGGTCATTAAAATTGTCTAAACCCATGCTATTTTACTAGAAATAGGATATTATACAATGCTATTTAAAAAAGTGAAGATAACCTTGAGATCTTTGAAACTCTTTCACTTGCATAAAAATTGTTACTTGCATATTACGAGCCCCTCCATACCATACAATTTTTATACAAAAAGTTGGTTCACTCTCTATATGCAATTCTAAAGGGAAAAACCATATACGGAAAACGTTGTCGTGAGGCCTGGAAACGAGCCTAATACGGTCGAGAGGTTAAGATAAACGGGAGAAAATAAACCGTGGAGTCGACAAATGGGTCGCGATTATGTTACATTTTTTTATTCTTCCTCTTTTTCTTGTGTGTTTCACGAAGGGGACCACGCGAGAGCCGCGTCCTCGACAAAGAGAGAGAGGGAGAGAAAGAGAGAGAGATCGAGGAGAAACCTCTCCGTTAGTTTATTATTAGCGTCAACAACGCTTGTGTTTTGGAGGAACGAGCCTCGCCCGAGGAGAGCGTACTTGCAGAAGCATTCCCGTCTAAAGTTGTGCGTGCTCGACTAAATGACACGAGCATATTTTATCTCGATAAAAATTTTCAATGTCAAGTTAAAGATACAAAATATTTTATCAATCATTCATCATAATAATTGTCATAATAGATTATTTTTAACTACTTATTTCACAATACATGCATTCGTATATTCCGAAGACTCGCATAAATGCTCATTACAACGATATTGCAATTCTAAATATTCCCATTTATTTGTAATCATAGTTGTAATTATTAATTTAAATATACTTTATTAAGCTCAAGTATAAAAACAGCGCCAACTGTACCTTACCTTGTACGTATTTATGCGTATCGTTTAAAACTATTTTTTCCTGTATACGTTATGTAATAAAGATATTAATATTGTTATGATCATTCGAACCATCCGAACAATGGTAAAAGTATCTTTTGCTCAATTTTCTATTTAAGTAACGACACGAGTAGAAGAACGAAACTTTCAACTGCTTACATCTCAAAAAGGAAGCCTCTGACTAAGTGACCTAGAAATTTTTGTTCCCTTTTAATGCATAGAATTTGTATTTTTTGGCATGAACCACAATTTTTTAAAGTAATTTTAAGACTTACGTTTACACAAAAATCAACCCACTTAAATATAAAGCCTACAGTGTACATAGAATTTTTTAATTCTCAATATTTAGACAATCCTACACGCGCGTGATGGCTTATTAATTTTATTTTACATTTTTGGACTATTTTCTGTCCGAAAATCAATGTTCATTATCTGTAGAAATCTGTGACCACAAAAATTCAAAAATAAAAAGTAACAACAATCGTATAATGTTTAAAGACTGTTTGCTCTGTATTTTTCTACATTCCCGTATTAATATATTTACCGATTTCCGAAAAAATACAAGGCGCGTATAAAAAATTCTTTTCATTTTCTGGTATAGAGCAAATTTTGGTGAAAGCGAGAAGAAATCTACGACTCGACCGGACCAATGTTCCGTGGCATCGAAAAACACGTCACTCCTCGCGGATTCTATTTCTAACTTACACGCGATCTCACGAACAACCAAGAGAAGGTCGAACGAACGACCGGCGACGTTACACCGCAGAAACGAGTCCAATGATACGCATGAAGAGATCTCCGTCGATAGCATGAAAAAATGTAACGAGTGAATTTTCGATATAGCAGGCATTTATGTTAGGCGAGAGAAATATTACGTCTAAATCCAAATTTAATTTTTTATTTGATATGGAGTTATATCTCAAAACTGACAACACAAAAAATAATAAGGTGGTTATAGCTATCAGTATAAACAGTTCCGAAATTTGGTGTCGAAAACCGTATTCACACGTGGATCGTACTGTTCAGTACAATAAATGTTCATGTATGCACGGACGTATCAGAATTTTTTGATGTTTAACAATATTGGTAATTGACCGAAAATCTACACTTTTAATCCCTCAATTTATTTGCCTTATTGACGTGTATACACGCACATTCGCATGAGCGAATAATTTTGTAACTCACTGTATGTGCCAGTATCCTTGAAAAGATTAAGACGACAGTGTACCATCGATTTTTCAACATTGCAGGAATAATAAGATTTATTCCAAAATACTTGAATTTAAATTATCTTTAAAAGTGAATTCTGGTTATTTCAAAATGATGTCCAGACTCGTGTGTAGAGTACGCTTTAGCGCAGTGAATGCGACAGTCTTCCAAAATGGGCACACGCAATTTGTACATTTCTAATAATCTATATCGGTATAGCTATGTATATCTAGTAAGGGAGTTTAACGAACATTAGTTTAACAATGATTGCTGAATATAAAAACCATCACGTTTCTGTAAAATTATAACTTACTATGGAAGCGAATCGAACGATCTAGAAAAGTCTGAGCGGAAACATCCGCATGGATTACTAGGGATCAGAGATAAGTCTCTATTATCGGCTTCTATTATCGTTAAGTACGATTTCAATCGAACGTTGAAACTCGTTAATTAAAAATACGTGTTTAATCATACAGGTATCTCTTAGAAGATTATTTCCGTATCCATGACACGTTTCACGTAAACGAGGGGACTGGAAAAAAAAATATGGCACCACTTACACGGAACGGACGGTCCAAATCGATCGGTTCTCCGAATTCGGATGCTTTGTCCAAGATGACAGGCGAGTCCATTTTGTGGACTCTTTCGATCCGTGCCTGCTTAATAATACGTGGATTCCTTTTCTGCCTCTGTGTTCTTTAATAGTCTGGCTTTTTCACACACTTAACGGCCCGTTGCCGTTAAGAGCTCTCTGCAGGTTAAGGTATTGTTTTTTTTTTCACACGTTTTGCTTGTTTATTCAGGGGATCAGCAAAGAAGCTCGCTAAACTGTGCCGGCGTGGTTAACAAAAAGCCGAACAAAAATTAAACGTATTGGCAACACACTCGTTTTTTTCTAAGGGTCTGTCAATGATTACCAGAAGAGCAATGCGTGACAAAGTCGTTTTAGTCCAGCGCTTCTTCGTTCGATCTTCTTTCTTCCTGCTTAAATTTCTTGTTTTCCTTTTCCTTGTATAGGATGGCCACTCGTGTGTCACTCGTCTCTTTTCTTAGCACTATCACACACTCGCGTATCAAAAGGTTTTGTATTCAAAAAAATTGTTCTTCTCGAGAATATCGAAAACGCACGTCTTCACACACTGCTTTCAGGTCGATAGTGAAACTGTCAGCGCGCGGCCAGAGCAACTTAAATATATATTTGTTGGGTGGTACGTTTGAAACCACGTGATTACCGAGCCGAGCATAGTCGAACGTTCACGGAAACGGCCGAAAGAATACGCGAGAGTATGCTAGAATGTTCCGTTCGTCTCTTTGGTTCTTTCAAGAAACCGTTTATTTTCTGCTTATGTGCATAACCACGCGATGTTTACAGTGAACGGAAAATAATGATTGAATTTATCGGGTGTTTGAATATCTGTATGGATAAATGCTAGAATCGCTCGCATTCGTTAGAACTTGTTAGAAATGATGTTGTAGTCGTTAAAATTTGCAAAGATGATAACATTTTTCCTCGACAATGACTTGCTACCATTATTGAAATAAACACAATACATATTTTTAACACTTTTTATAAAAAAATATTATATGTACGATTACCCATTTCGATTCTGAATTTGCGATTAATAAATAGAATTATAAGATTGCATAACTGTTTGAAGTACACGATAGACACACGTGCAGTATTTAATATCGAAAATGTAATTGTTTAGTTCGTTTTAAAGCCGGGTTAAAGTATTTTTCGAAGGTGATTCATTGCTTCTACCAACTTCGGTCGGTAGTGTCGAGTTTTTCCTTGTTTTCTTTTTACAATCGGCCTGGTGGCAAGGCTGTACTCTGGACTTGTTTACCTATATCCTTTTATAGTAAGCTCGAATACCCTTCGTTCGTATTTTTATTCGAAAAATTGGACAACATGGTTTCTCTCGATGCTGCCTATAATCGTTATAAATCGTCACTATAAATAGACCACTGGCTAAATATAAATTTATTATCGCGTTATGGTTTTTAAAAATAGTATTACGACAAATGGAGCTTAATTTTTTTAAATTTAATATAATCATGAATCATCGAAGGTGTATTATTAGATCACGTCTGATTCAAAGATACCATCGCATCACGAAACATATAGATTACGTATTGCGCCCGCTAAAAATTCAATCGAATGATTAACAAATAAAAAAACTCATGCATCAACGATACGTATTTTTAGAAGCGCTCAAATTACGAAATAGAATTATAGCGAATCTATATACAATACCAAGAGTAGGCAACAATTTTAAGTGGAAATTGAAGAGCATCGAATGCACAGAAAGTTATTAAAGCTATTACATACTGACAAAAAAGCATTGAATAGAATCTCGTCAAGAGTTCATCTTTACCGCGAAGAATTAAAAATAGTTTTACGTTTCATCTGTTAACACTTTGACGGCCACGCTATCCATATATGGGCGACAGGATTTACCATTATGATACTAGAAAAATTAATTCTCAAGTTACGACGTCAAAGGAAATAAGTTTGAATAGAATTTGTGAATTTTAACAAGGTTAAGAAAATAACTACTGAAACAAATTTTAGGTTATGTAGCTTACAATGGTCTAAAATCAACAGTTTACTTTTGCAGAATATTATACGGTTTTCATCTGGCAGTGAACGTGTTAAGCAGGCATTTGAGGAAGCATTTTGTCGCTTGATCTTCCAACGTCAACTTGGCCTCTAGATCGATTCTCGACTGTATTACCAGCAAAGTATGAGGTCCGCCATTGAATATTAGTCACACGATCAAATTCTGGCCCGATTCCAGACTCTTCTGCTTAAAGTGAAAATACGTGTGTGCAGATCGAGTGGCCAGGTAGACACGTTTCACGATCAAGACGTTGCGTTGTGACACGGCAATAAGCCGAGACCTTGCTTGATCCTAACCTAACTTCCACAACAACTGATGTCAGATTTTCGACGTATTAATTCCTATGCTACATAGCAAATGTTGTCGGTAGTATAGTAGAAGCAAGACTCTGACCTAAAGAATTTCATGACTAGAGCCCTATAAATATCCGGAGATAAGCAATCGACAGTAGTAGCGGATACGAGGAACAAACGAAGGGGGGGAGTTGAGACTACAAGGAATTTAGCACAGCCCCATTTGAGCACAAAATGTTTATTCGTTGTTAGACGTTGAATAATCATTTAAACTTTAATATTTCTATTTTTACTTATTATTTCTAAGCATGAGGTTCTTGCATATTTTTCGCAGATTTTGCAGATTTTTTATTAATCCCCTTACCTCCTCAGCTTTTTTTAGATACGTCACTGATCGTCAATTAATTTAGCAAAGTCGCACTGTGTCGATTATAAGTCGAGTATCTTCTACGCAACTGCAAGTGGCATAATGATATTGTGTACATTCTGTGGCTCGGTTATGCCACTGAGATGTAATTAATGAGATATAGGAACCGTCAGATGATACTCCGTGACTGGATAGACGCCAAGTGCAGTAGGAACAAGGTTTTATAATCTAATCGACGATTTTAAATCGCTTTTCAAAAACTTCCTCACCTTTGAATACCATTTCGGTAATTTATTTGAATAGAATTTGTACAAAATTTTTAGTTTCGCGTAGTAAACTTTAATCGTGTTTGATACTTCCTGAAAGTATTTTATATACATATTATAAGATAAATTGTGGCAGCGTAGCGTGGAATTGGTGCAACTGATCAATCACTGATGGTGATGACGGATCGATCCGTGCCGTTTAATTGCGGTAATTGTCATTGCATAATCGTAACAAGAATTACAGGTCATTTTAAAAATTGAATAGCATTACACGCCTCGTTAACGCGCCCTGCCCATTAACAAGATTCGTTCCATATATTTTTAAATCCATTCGTTGCTTCTAATAAAATTATGTCAAATAATCGCTTTTGATTTTGAAGAATTTTGAACACGTTCGTGTGAGTCAAATGATCTTCACGGCTGTTTTTGATTATTAGTAATGATGTGTTGTTCGGTAGCGATGCGCGGGATATTTGCGAACTACTCAAGGATCTCTCGAACTTGAACAACGTTTTATATACATACATGTTCATACATATGATGAATGTTTTCAAAAGAAACTTGACAATAATATATGCTCTATTGTATTTACGTATAAAAATACTATCGTACGAACACCATGGAATAGAAGCATTAATAAATTAGTACAGAAAGAAAAAATGCTTATCGGTTCAAACTCGAAATCTCTGAATATACAGGGTGTTCGGCCACTCTTGGAGAAAATTTTAATGGGAGATTCTAGAGGCCAAAATAAAACGAAAATCAAGAATACTAATTTGTTGATTGAGGTTTTGTTAAAACGTTATAGCAACATTTCCGGCCAGACAGTATACTTCCGGTAAAGAATTTTTTTCTCGAAAGTACGTAGAATTTCGGGGATATGTGTCTTCGCCAAAAATGATTGCAATTGACCCCCGCAACTAAAAATAATTTTTTTAGAACGATTTGAAATTTTTTAATTTTGTCGAAAAATTTATCCACATTCCTGAATTTTTTTCTCGAAAGTGCGTAGCATTACGAGGGTATGTGTATTAACAAAAAATCATTGTAATTACCCCCTGCAACCAAAAGTAATTTTTTTAGAACGATTTGAAATTTTTTAATTGCGCCAAAAAATTTCAGCACCTGCTCGAATTTTTTTCTCAAAAGTGCGTAGAAATTCGGGGGTATGCCTATTCACCAAAAATAATTGTAATTGACCCCCGCAACCGAAAATAATTTTTCCGTGAATGATTTGAAATTTTTGAATTTAATTTTTTAATAACTCTAGAAATCCTCATTAAAATTTTTCCCATGGGTGGCTGCACACCCTGTATAAGAGCTGTCGTTCTGAAAGGTCCCGGTGACCGATCGATATGAAATCTAGCGAATGGGAAGATGGAGAGGTACGGATCTTAAATATAAAATATTAGATTCCGGTATTTAATAGTTTCCAAGATGTTAGGTTAGGTTTGGCTATTTTTTATTTCGCCGAGCGGGGACTGCTTACGGTTCAGAATGAGTGAGACACTATACATATTTACGTTAGATTTGTATAGTATATTGCAAACTAACATTTTCCGGGCCAATAAAATTAAAATTTGACATAAAAATCCATTTTCTGTAGGACACCTTGTAGAAAAATGTATCCAGGGATCGAATACATATGTTATTACTCAACATTACCGTAATTATAGTGTATCTAGTAGCGAAACTTAATCATTTTTGGTCATCGAAATTAAAATGTAATGCAGCTTGAAAAAAGCGCGTAAATTTTAAGCGGAACACTCTATAGAAACTTAGGCTCGATATTGCTATGCGTCATGAGCTATTCAACAGTTGAGGACGATACTATTCCAAAGAATGACGGTTGTATTAGTGACGTCTATGCTATGTTCATACAGACAGAATTCAATATATCGTACGGAAAGTTTTTTTATTAATATCTCGGAAACTATTAATTACCCGAAGCTGAGACTTTAGATTTCGGCCCTCTTCTCCCCTCTCCCCTTCCCACCCCCTTCCCCTCCAAATCTTGTAACGATCGGCCAATGGGGCCTTTCAGAACTTCATCCATATAAGGTTAATATACATATATATAAGGTTACAGTTAAATCGGTGACCCAAAAGTCTTCTCTACTCTCCTATTTCTATTTTTATTGTTTCATTCCTATGTTACAATTGTATGTACAAGTAAACTATGTATAAATTCAACGATGTTTTGACAAACTAAAGTTACCTCTGAGTTTTACGTATTACCAACACCACTTACCTAATAACAGAACGATCGAGCACGTGCTACACACTCGAAAAATATCAAATTACCGCGCTACAATTGAAAAGTATTATTGCAGCGATGCCAGTGAAACGACGAGTACAATTTTTTAGCAATCTTAAATGTTTACTTCACGGTCTACAATATATAGGAAACACAAATCGTGTCGCCACACTTTAACGAACATGTCAATTCATGCACAAGCAAAAACATAATGATAGTTCGTTCGACAGATGACTCACTTCACGTTCCTAACGAGATAGAGATTATGTAATGAATCGGTAATACATCAGCAAGCTGCCATCTGCAGATTCCGTGAAATTCCAAACGTGAATGCACAGCGCTTCGGTAGTCGTGAGCACGAGAAAAAATTAGGTGTATCTATCGATAGATCACGCTTCAGAATACTTGCGAGTATGCAATACCTTTAATTCCATTTATTAGATATTTCAGATTATCCGTTTAGACCTACTTACTGTTCATCGATATCGACAAAATGCCAGAATCTTCCTAGACCGTGAACTACACGAGAAAATATACCTAAAAATCTTTTAATATTCTAATATTAAAATCTAAATCAACTAACTCTCCACGGTGATAAAAACGTTTAATTCAACGAGCCAAAGAATACTAAATGAAAGTGTGATTGCGAGAAACGTCGTAACAATTGCATACCGACGATTCTCGTAATTCAAAATAACCCGTACACAGTGACTCAC